AAGATCTCGCATTCATTATAACTATCATTGATTTTCAAATTACGAGTAAAATTTGTAAAGTTGAAGTGAAGCATAAATCCAAATTATAATAACTCAATGATTAAACATTATTTTAAAGTCATTGAGTCAAACATAAAAGACAGGTTCTTTTATTTTAATTCAAAACTATACCTTTTTTTCTTTTTATCCTTCTTTTGTATTGTATCAATTTACTTGGAACATATTGGGCACTCACACATCCTAATCTTAAATTATAGTGTTTATTACTTCACGTTTGGAATTTTGTGTGGTATTGTTTGTTAGAATTGGTCCACAAACCAAAAGATGAAAAGTAGTGAAAGAATATTTTTGAATTATTTGATAAGTTAGGTTAAAGCAATTAATGACAGACCATTTGATCGAACTTTATAATCTATTGTTTTTCTCTTTGAATATTATTTGTCTTCTCAAAATTAAGTAATAAAATAATATATGAAAACGATATATTTTTTAAAGAGAAAAGACATATTTTATTTATATTTCGGTTTCAAGTTTTTTTATGATATTGTTAAGATTAATTATTGTATATTTAAAATATTATTTATTTTCAAGTCCTGTTTATCACAGTTTTATTTTAAAAATATATAGAAAGATAAAATAAAATATTTAAATTATGTTAGATTTTAATTTTTAAGTGATGTTAAACTATTAAATATGATAGAAATGATTTAAATAGAAAATTTAATTTTTTTATTAATTAGAATTTGCTTGTTTATTGATGTATAGATATTGAAAAACCCAGATCTTAGTAAATTTTACAATGAAATATTTTAGTTTTAGAAATACAATGTTGGTGATACCTAAAAGTTGTCTCCCTGACTAAACTCATGAAATTAGTTAATGACACAGTTTTGTTCCTAGGAACCTTCACTTCTATCATGTTTTGTTTCATAGCTGGTTTGCTTAAGTTTGTTCACAATTCCTGTTGTTTTGGTATCATTGCTGTACTTTCTCACTTTGGTCTCTCGAACTCTAAAGTTAAATTATCTCTAAATATGGTTTTTTAAATCACATGGACAACATAATTTTAGATTATGAAGAAATATATTTTATTTATTTTTTGTTAAAATTATTTATCGAAATCTTTATCAACACCCATCCTAACATACACACTACATGAGTAATCAAATTACAATATATAACTTTTATTGACTATTATATTATTTAATAGTTTTTAATTAAAATAGTTATTTTCATAAAATTGATGTAATGAAAATTGTTTTCACATATGTGTAAAATTTAATATCAATAAAAAAAATTTGATATATGATTTATGTAGAACAAATTCAGGCATTATGTCTATGAATAATTTGTTTATATTTTATTATTATTTAACTTTAACAAAATCCAATTTAAACAATAAAAATAATATAAAATTATAATTCAAACTTTAGAGTAAAGCAACGTTTTTTATATTAACTAGTTTGTAATGTTATAATCAGTAGAAGTTGTATCATGATAAGAAGATAATTTATATTTCCGTAAGGATAGGTCGGATAAACTACACTACTAACCTACCTTCAAATTGGCATATTGGATGAGGATTTAAATCCAATAAAAATCAACATAAAATTTCCATCAGAACTTTAATTTTTTTAAAATATGTTAACTATCATTACTGGTTTAATTTATTAAATGTATACATTTTATTAACTAAAAATAAATTCTAATGGAATTTAGACTGAAAATCCATATGGTTTGCACCATTTTATTGTATTTTTTATTTGAAGTAATTTTATAAGATAAATCATATAATTATTTTCTCTTTTTTAGGTTAGGTAAAAGAGTATTGAGATGGATGATTTAAGTAAACTTAAGTTAGTAGATTTCATGTTTCCACTTGTTTAAATCAATAAGTGAATTTGATGGTGTATAAAAAAATTGAAATGAGAGAAAAAAAAATGATAGAAAGATGTTTGTTTTGGATCAAATATTGAATTTAACTGAGTGAAAAATTATGAAAAAAGGGAAAAGAAAGCGTAAAGAAAGATTGTTTGAATTAAGAAAAAGTAAATAAAATGTGAAACATAAATTTATGAATGATTTAATTGATGTGATAGTAAAATGATTTTTAATTAATAAATTTTTACTATTACCGTTTTATCCTCATGTTTAATAATAATTTAGATGAATGATAGTATATTATTTAATTCAATTCTTATTATTTCATGGTGTATATTTGATTAAAAAAATGTATATATGAAAAAGATCCATAGTCTACATGCACCATTAATTATGTCATAACATGAGAGTCAGTCACACATATCAAACATTCATAGTTGAAAACACATGAAAATGCACAATAAATGAAAAAGGTAAGGTTAAATGTGAAAATTCCTTTTATTAAATTGACTTTTTTTTTGTTTTGTTTTCTTCACGACAACGACTCGAAAATCATCGCTAATATGTTTTGCACCATTCTATTTCTGCCCAATTTTGTAACAATAAATAGAACTTATTTAAATTTTTCATATTTGTAAATAATTAACTCTCATAAACAACACAATTATAAAATACATGTATTAAATATAACTTTAGAAAATATATAGATATATATGTATTAAATAATTAAAATTTAAATATATTTTAATACATAAATTTTAATACGAAAATAAAATTCATCAGTATTCCAAACTTTGATATAATCAAATATTAAGAATTAATGGATATAATCATTAAGGGTTTTTAAGCTTTTTATGCGTAAAATCATATTTTAACTTAATATCTGAGCTCGCTTAACATTTTTTAATTCAATTGACCGTACGAAATATGTAAAAAAATTAATGTTACTGAATTAAGAAAATTATATCATTAATTAGTAAAATATAAAAATAAAAATTGTATAAATATTTAAAATTAAAAAAAGTCAATTTTGTATTAAGATTTAAAAATTACAAACATATTTAGCCTAATAATTTAACAAAAACTAGCTAAACAAAATCATCTATTTATATTAAATTGTAATGGATAGGACCTTTGTGACATTTTACTATCTAATGTACAATCAGAGAAAAAAAGTTAAAAAGTTTCTATAATGTGTAATCATGGTGAAAAAGTTACCTTGTCATAAATATGATACAAGTAAGTTGTAGGAGTTTATGATATTATAATAATTATATTCAATTATTTCTTAACACTGTATTCACTTAAATAGTTCTCTTGAATAGAAAGAACTGTTGATAAAAAATTGTTCATGTGATCTTACTCACACTTCATGTGTTCTTAGAACAATATTTTTTATAATGTTAAACAATGTATTACGGTGGTGGCTGAAAAAGTTAAGTTTGGTGGCATGACTAAGATGTTTAGGTCATTTGACCGTATCATTAGCATGGTGAAAGAATTTACAATCTTCTAATTTCCAGTACCTATAATAAACCTAATCCAAATAATGTTTCTTCTCTTCTCTTTCATCTGCTAATCATGGTAACGTGTTTATAAATAAATAAAATAAACCCAATGAAAATCGTGGCCTGAGTTTAACGGTATGTTGAGCGGCTTTGACATACGTTGGGATAAAGCAAACAAAATAATTAAAAAAAATGTTTGATAAAATAACAAAACAGTAACTACTAATTAAAAATTATTATTTTTTTCAATTTATTTCCTCTTTAATTTAAATTCAGAAGGAAGATGTTTACGAGTAGAATCAACTATTGAATTTATGTTTAAAAACATGAGAATTTGGGTGTTTCCTTTGTAAGTCCATCTTGTGGTTCACAAACATCATCAATCATCGATAACTGGCGTGCATTCATTTAGTGATTGCTTCATAATAGAGACATGCATTTATTTCACAATATTAATTTAATTTATAATTATATTAAATTAACATTTAATGTTATTAAAATCATGAAGTGAGGGAATATATTATCTTTTTTATGACTACTTTTGAAACTGTATATCTTAGAATCTTCACGAAAAAATAGCTATCTTCTTACATAAAGTAATGTAGCTATAATTATATTCAATCGTTAATTAATGTAAATCATTTACAGTATATGATAAATATTATGTTTATTAAAGTTTACAACGGCGATGGTGAATATATAATGCATGTCAATATTTAATTTATCTCAGAAAAATAACTTCAAATATTTAGAGACTTGAAAACTATTTTTTCTTTTAAAATTTTATTCATACAAACTTACTAACTTTTAAACTTACGCACATAAGACTTAATTAAAATATTGTTTTTATCATTAAATTTTACACCTGTTTATATATATAATATTGATTTTTATACCAACATGGTAATTCGTTAATGGATGACGATAAATCTGGTAATTCAATTAAACTTTTTGTTGCAATTGATAGTATAGTGTTCTCCAACTTTGAGAGAAAACTACTCTGGTCACATAAAAGTAAAAAATAAAAAATAAAAATACTAGTATGTATCTGTTTAGCGTTTAATATAGCCATGTTAAATTTCATTAATTCATTTGATTATTGTTTTCTTTCTTTCTTTTTTATTCGTTGTTTTCCCACAGTCTGACTGTTAAATATCATTTAAAGGTGTTAATAAATACTCATCTTATTGTAATCAGTGAAAAGTCATTCGTATATTTTATTATAAAAATCGTTCATGAGTTTTAGTAATTAGGAATGGACTCCAGCACTTATAAGTAGTTAGTTCTCTAAACAAAAATACTAACAGGTAATTAATAACTTTCTTCTGTCGTAATAATGTACAATGCATTTAATACAATATGGTGTCTGAGTTTTCTCTTAAGAGAAGCAAAAGGATAAACTAAATGGTGAATGTAAAACATATCTTACTCACAGAGAATGGTAACTTAAATTTATAATAGCAAAATGGTGGGCTCTGTATTGGTTTCCTCAAACATGGATTAAAAATATGATCTTGGGTAGGTTTAGTTAAAGGGATTTGATTCCACATAAACTAAAATTTGAATATTTGTTAGAATATGGATAAAAAAACATGAATGTGGCATTAATGGAGGAGGGGGTAAGAGGAAAATAGGAAAAGAAAAGATAAAGATTGAGAGATACAGGTGTTGATGGATGGTAAATTCACAGCATGGCTGAGCACGAAATGGATTGAAAGAAGAAGGATTGAAATGAAAATAGTTAGGCATATAGAGAGTGATGTTCATGAAATGGAAAGAGGGAGAAGCATAGCAGTGTTTTTGTGGTGCCGTACTTGCATTACATAAGAGAGTTTTGATGTTAGAAAAAGAAAATGGATGTTTGTTTATATGCATGCGTTGGAAGGCATCTATTCCAAAACTCATCACCTACCACTGATAACTCCACCCCTTCCTCTTTATCATCACTCACATTCCCCTTCATCTCCCTCTTACCCGACCACCTTTCTCTCTGTTCTTCAGATAGCTCCACTCCAACTTAGATTCACTCTAACATTTTCCGCATATATATGGGAATAGGATTCTCGCTTATATAGGCAAACTTGCTTTTGCTCACACCCCAACATTCGGAGGTCTCAAAGATCTGCCCTTTTGAGTTTCTTCCATTGTTTCAGCCTCTTAGTTTGTGAAGGGGCTATTTCAAAGATCTGGGATTTCAGGCTTCTCACTTGTTCTTCTGAATGAGTACTGGTCAGAGTGTGATTATTATCTCTTTAATTCGAGTTATTTCCAATCTCATGTTTGTGTTTCTTGGTTCCTTTTTCTTCCAATTTTTTTTTTTTTTATGAACGTGTTCTGTTGTGCTGATTGATTGATATTGATAATGTCTTTGTGTTGCATATTGTAGGTATTAAGGCTTTCTGAAAAATGGGGTCTGGTCTTAATGCTGAATTATCCAAGAAAACTCCAATTTTCGGTCTCAAAGTTTGGGAAATAATTGGAATTGTAGTTGGTTTGTCAATAATAGTCATTCTTTCTGTGGTCTCACTTTGCCTTTCGTCAAGGAAGAAATCTAGAAAAGAGAAAGACAGGATTCCCCTTAGTCAAATACCAACCGTGTCAAAGGAAATCAAAGAAGTGCGGGTTGAACAAGTGCCAACTAATTCATTTGCTCCTCGCGATGGAATACTTCTTACAATTCGGGACAAGTCCAGTGGCAAGGAATCAGACAATGTCATGGTTCATNTCCTCTTTATCATCACTCACATTCCCCTTCATCTCCCTCTTACCCGACCACCTTTCTCTCTGTTCTTCAGATAGCTCCACTCCAACTTAGATTCACTCTAACATTTTCCGCATATATATGGGAATAGGATTCTCGCTTATATAGGCAAACTTGCTTTTGCTCACACCCCAACATTCGGAGGTCTCAAAGATCTGCCCTTTTGAGTTTCTTCCATTGTTTCAGCCTCTTAGTTTGTGAAGGGGCTATTTCAAAGATCTGGGATTTCAGGCTTCTCACTTGTTCTTCTGAATGAGTACTGGTCAGAGTGTGATTATTATCTCTTTAATTCGAGTTATTTCCAATCTCATGTTTGTGTTTCTTGGTTCCTTTTTCTTCCAATTTTTTTTTTTTTTATGAACGTGTTCTGTTGTGCTGATTGATTGATATTGATAATGTCTTTGTGTTGCATATTGTAGGTATTAAGGCTTTCTGAAAAATGGGGTCTGGTCTTAATGCTGAATTATCCAAGAAAACTCCAATTTTCGGTCTCAAAGTTTGGGAAATAATTGGAATTGTAGTTGGTTTGTCAATAATAGTCATTCTTTCTGTGGTCTCACTTTGCCTTTCGTCAAGGAAGAAATCTAGAAAAGAGAAAGACAGGATTCCCCTTAGTCAAATACCAACCGTGTCAAAGGAAATCAAAGAAGTGCGGGTTGAACAAGTGCCAACTAATTCATTTGCTCCTCGCGATGGAATACTTCTTACAATTCGGGACAAGTCCAGTGGCAAGGAATCAGACAATGTCATGGTTCATTTAGGTGTGGGGAAGATGAAGAATGGGAACAGCAACACTCACTCAGATTCATTTCGTTACATAGAGAAAGATGGAAGCGGTTCACACTCACAGTCCGGAGAAGAAGGTAGCTCTGGCACGTTTACTGTGTACAAGCAATCTTCTTCACACCCTATAACAGCTCCCTCACCTCTATCTGGCCTTCCAGAATTTTCTCACTTGGGTTGGGGTCACTGGTTTACCTTGAGGGATCTTGAACTTGCCACTAACCGTTTTTCCAAAGAAAATGTCCTGGGAGAAGGAGGGTATGGAGTGGTTTATAAGGGTCAGTTGGTCAATGGAACTCCAGTGGCAGTTAAAAAGATACTCAATAACATGTGAGTTCCAGTACAATGTCCAATTGTCCATTGTAGATACCTTACTTGCTTTGCTTTTGTTCCTTCTCTGTTCGGCTGAAATTCAACTCTAAGGTTTTTGGTTTAGCAGTGGTCAAGCAGAGAAAGAATTTAGAGTGGAAGTTGAAGCTATTGGCCATGTCCGACACAAAAACCTGGTTCGCCTTTTGGGGTTCTGCGTTGAGGGAACCCACAGGTATCACAATTATCAATTGCAGTATTATCATTTCAATATAAATGATTTCATATAACCTTGTCAATTTCTCAAGTTAACTCTTACACTCTTACACTTGTACAATTATAAGTAACCAAAACGAGTTAGCTCTAAGGCTCAAATTGTTTGAAGAAATCAACTCCTCTTTTAATTGTTTTCACTTTAGATGTGTTTATATATGATTAGGTCAGTTATGTAGTTTGTTCTTAATAGTGCTGATGTATCATCGCACTTTCTTATGGTGGTTTGCTACTTTTCTATATTATCAAATTAAAATGTGGAAATATTGCTGTGCTTAGTGTTATATTATGCATATATGTCATTACTGGGTTTTTAATATTGAGTAAAGTCTTACAAGTTTATGGAAACTCTTCAATTTTATGTGAACTTTTTTGAGTTTGATAACCTAGCATATAACATTATAACCGGCTTAGCTAAATTAAACAGTTTTTTTTCTTCCGGAATAATATGAATTGTGCGTGTTTATTAATCTGCTACTGGGTGATTTGTGTTCACTGAAACATATTTGTCCTGTTATGATACATTCACAGGATGTTGGTTTATGAGTATGTCAATAATGGAAACTTAGAGCAATGGCTTCATGGAGGAATGCGCCACCATGGATACCTTACCTGGGAAGCACGTATCAAGATTCTGCTGGGCACAGCCAAAGCGTGAGCGTCTGCATCTATTTTACTTCTATCTTTTCTTAGTCCTCATATAAAGCAATTTACTTATAACAGGCTAGCATATTTGCATGAAGCAATTGAGCCAAAGGTGGTACACCGTGATATCAAGTCAAGCAACATATTAATTGATGATGATTTCAATGCCAAGGTTTCTGATTTTGGCCTGGCCAAGTTATTGGGTGCTGGGAAGAGTTATGTCACCACAAGAGTTATGGGAACTTTTGGGTCAGTGATTTTGTGCTTTGCTGAAGCTTTCCCATTCTCAGTATTGTTATTTTGGTGAGAAAATAAAAAACCATGCTTATTTCTTTATTGCTATAAATATTTCACAGATACGTGGCTCCTGAATATGCAAATACTGGTCTCCTAAATGAGAAGAGTGATGTTTATAGCTTTGGTGTTTTGCTATTGGAAGGAATTACTGGAAGAGACCCAGTTGACTATGGTCGACCAGCAAATGAAGTGAGTAAAACTTGTTTTTCTTGGGCAAAATCTAGTTTTCAGTATGCGTGCGCACTTGTTTTTTCAGCATTTCGCCAAATATCCTGTGTACTGGTTCAAATCCTGCAGTGAGTTAGGATCATTCAGCTAAATTGCTGCAGCAAAGTATCTGTATGGATGTCTTGTGTATATGAGGCTAATCTAAACATACGTTATAGCTATAAAATCTAATTATTTTCTCCAACATTGAAAGAAGCAAATAATTGGGACATTAAAGAGTGACCCAGTGTACAAGGCTCCACACCTAGTGAAGTTTGTTGAAAGGTAGATGCATGTGACCTTTTGGCTCAGGTGGAGAAGCTGTTTGCAGGATTTGAAGCAGTGGCTTGGGATTATACCGGGACATTATGCTTAAAAGATATTTGACAGTTAAAGTAAAACAAGGATAGGAATTAAAGTTAATCTTCGGTTTTGAAGCATATAGCACTAACTAATATTCTTAACAATGATAGTAACTATTCTTTTTGCATGTTCATTGTTTTCATTACAACTTTAGGATAAATCCTTAGTTGATTCATGATAAATATTTTTTTTTTCATGTTCATTACTTGTTCTCTGGGATAAAAAAATTAACACTATTTTTCTACTTTCATTATTTCTGTGAGGATTAGTTTGGGTGAATGACTATAAATATTCCTCAATCCAGCACCCTTTGCTCGATTATTAACAAGAATTCTGTGTTGTTTATAACTTATTTCTACATGACAGGCTCTGATAAAGTGCTTTTAACTTGGCCGTACCAATTATCTGCATTGCTTTCAGGTGAACCTGGTTGATTGGCTGAAGATGATGGTTGGTAATAGGAGATCAGAAGAAGTGGTGGACCCCAACATTGAGGTGAAGCCATCCACAAGAGCTTTAAAACGGGCTCTCTTAACAGCTTTAAGATGTGTAGATCCAGATTCTGAGAAAAGGCCCAAGATGGGCCAAGTCGTTCGCATGATGGAGTCAGAGGAATACCCTTTACCAAGAGAGGTTAGTTTTTCCCCATTGCCATGATTTAAGTCCACAAACTCTGCTCCTATCTCCACTCTACTTTCATGAATACATTAAATATTGATCATTTTCCCCTTTAGTCTGGGATTATCTATAGTAAAACTCAACAAAAAACTTACTTATTATTTTTTTAATTCACATTAGATGGATGTTTACATGTTGCACCTTGAACATTTGAATCTAGTTCTATAATTGATAAGTAAAAGCAGCTACGGGCAGTCTTTATGTTGGATGAAGAAACTTATACCGGGTTTTACTTTACTATTAACTTGTTTTTAGAGTAAAAACTTGAAAGCATAAATCACATCATTTAAAAATATTGGATATTTGAGATGGTTTTGTGAATGTTCAGGACCGAAGACACCGAAGAAGAAATCGAGGGGGGAGTGGAGAAATGGATTCCCAGAAGGAATATTCTGACACAGACAGGAGTGAGATTCAGGATTCCAGAGAAGAAAGAAGAGGGTGACAAGATGGATTCTTCTTATTCAGAATTTGGTGGGTGTACAAAGTGGAAGTGGTAGCTTCTTTTTTATTTTCTTCCATAGCTTTTCTGATTCTTGGATGGTACAGCTCAACATATTTTCATTTTAATATTTCTTTTTCCATGCATTCATCAGTTCTTGGAGTCCCTTTGCTTGTGTGTAGGATAAGGTGTGGATGCTATTTCTGAGATAATAACCCATAACGTTGGGGTCTGTACAGAACTTTATATCTTTCTTTCTCTTCTGCAAACTGTATTCCATAGTCTGTTGCTAGAATGTGTGATTTAGGGATAAAAAAATATATGTTGTATGTGAATATTTATGCTAAAATTTATAACAGATACAAAACTTCATGTTCTTGCATATGTGTGAGTAACGGATGTTTACATATATTTGTGTATACGTCTTTCTTATATGGTTGGTGATTTATAGATCAGATTTTTAAAGTAATACTAATAGTAAGAAAAACATTTACAATTGAAGAATTATTTAAAGTTTGGTTTTATAAGTTTACTTTTTTTATTTAAATTTATAAAATTAGAGTTCTTTTAAAAGGGGTAATTTTATTTTATCTGCATCAATATTTTATGATGTAATGTTATTTGAATCATACTTTTAGATAAACAAAAAACTTATTTAAGAGTAAATTTTAAAATAATTTTGTTAGGATTTACAGAAAATATTTAAATAAAAATTCATTTGTGGATATTCATGGTTTCATATTAGTATAAAAATAATATTCGGGTATTTTTCAACGAGATATACAAGAAGTAACGAGACAATTTTTTCTAGATCAAATGACTAACAAAAAATTACTCTTCACCCGTTGTCATTTCTAGCTAAATATAACATTGATGGAAAAGAAATTGTGTTTTTCTCCAATCACACTTTCATCCACAAGATTCACACGACCTTGATCAAAGATGTGAAAATATCTTTGAGATCAACAACTTAATAGTACATTTTAGTGAGTATTACACTTAAGAGAATAAATGTTCTTTATATAATTAACATTTATAAAAATTATTTAAATAACTCTAAATTTCAAAGATATTGGATGCTAATACTTTTTATTCGATATTTTTATTTAGTCCACAGAAACAGGAAAAGGTAAAGTTCCACTCGAATAAGAACAATACTCAGAAATGTTGATTCTAGAAAGAGTAAAGAAACCCTGTCGTTATATCTTAAAAGCATAAAGCTGTATTCTTCACATTCAAGAAATAAAAAGCATTTTACCCTTGCCCAAAAAAAAAACAAGAGATATAAAAAAAAATATTGTCAAAATTAGTAGGCATCAAGATATTGCCAAAAGGAAAAAAAGAAATATTATTGATCCAAATTTAGAAATAAAATAAAAAATGCGACATACCGTGTGCTATTTTATTCCCACAATTTATTGTTTAAACAATTATTATTTAAGTATAATTTATTTGGCCGAACAGAGCCAAATAAAGTGTTTATATCCAAGGAATTCTTTTATTATTTAATAAATTATATAAAATGTGTTG